ACCAGGCTAGAAACCAGGAGACTGTGAGTTCTAGTCATAAAAGACAGTTGGGTGACTTTGGGGCAGTCACTCTCTTAGCTCAACTCACCTTACAGAGTAGTTGTTATAAGGAAAACAGGAGAACGAATATTAGGAATGTTCGCCTACTTATTTCTATAAATAAAAACAAAAATTTAAAAACCAACGTTTTCTCTGAACAGATATTGTTAGGGGTATACACAACCATTCCCTGAAAGTTTTAACAAGCTAAAGATATCGATGATTGAAGTTCTCCTGGAATTTTTGATGGTGACCAATCTCATCAGAAACCCTAAATCCTGTAATATGAAGACAGGTCAATGAAATGTACTTTTAAAGCAGGGAGTGGAGCAGATGAGCTATGCCTGTCTTTCGGTTGCATGATAGGCTGGCTATCACAGGCACTGTTTTGTGACAGAAAAAAATGGTACCTCTGCTGATTTTGCAAATGTTAACTGCTCTTAATTCTTTTCAAAATATTAGCATTTTAAGAAAGAAAAGTTCAGGGAGAAGAATCAAATATCAGTTCTTAGAACCAGCTTTCTTATGCATAACTTGTAAGGATTTCAACTGACAATGGTGTTGTTTATTTTCACAGAATAGCAGATTTGGAGGGGACCTTGGAGGTCTTCTAGTCCAACCCTCTGCTCAAGCAGGAGACCCTAAGCAATTTTCATGATAATCAAATCATGAAATCTATCTGAATCATGAAATCTATCGACTGCATTTATCTGCAAGGGAACAGAGTGGCCCGTGTTCAAATTTCAACAGGCTGTTGAAAAATAAGAATGGAGGCAAATTTGGGGAATGGAAACGATAAGCCAATGGAGCAGGCAGTAAATGTGAGCAGGTTGCTTGCCAGTTCCATCTGGGAAACTAAAAGTCAGGCAACTGCTGTGCACATCTGGAATTGATTCTGTGTCAACTGAGTTATGTGTTTGTCTAGCATTTAGAGGTTATCTATATGAGAGACTTAAAAAAAAAACCACTAGGAATGTGCACAATGACTCAATTATCATGTAGGATTTACCAATCTCTTCCAAGCTGGTGGTTGCCTGCAAGGAAATATTTTCCACCCAATGCTCAATGATAAGTGGCAGTGATTCCTTGCCTTCAGTCCTGAGGAATGGGGTTTGCAAGTGGTAACCTATCATTGATCTGTTCCAGATTCTCACTGAGCCTTACCTCCTGCACTATTGTGGAAAGAATATTCTGAGGACAAGTAAACGTTGTTGCCTCTGATGCTACCTTTTACAAAGGAAGATTAACTGCAGAATTATCATGTAAAAGTATTATAGGCTACCAATTTTAAAACGGCTCCGAGTCATGAGACTAACTGGAATTTGCTTTGTGCGCCCTAGCCCAGCTTCATGAAAAGAATGAGTTGCCTCTGTGATTTAGAACTTCCTCTTGTAGTCACAGATGGAACTAGAATGCCAGAGTCTTTTCTCATATACTCATCTAGTCTTAAGACACTTTTCCAACAGTTTTCTGGCAATTTAAAATTAATGTTCCTATCATTGTCTAAACCATCAGGCTACCTACTTCACATCATAGATGCATAGAGTCTGTGACAAATGATATTCATAGAACTGTTTGGGACAAGAGGGAATGGTGAAATTAACAATGGGAAGTGAGCTAGGGCCCAAAAAGATTTACTGTTCATGATCAATAACATTTTAAGGTACCACTAGACTTTTCTCATATAAGAGACTTCTTGAAAAGATTGTGGTCATTAAAGAATCTCACACCATTAGACTCAGCCTTTCCACTATCAATTTTATAATTAACATCCGCCATACTGAAGGTAATAGGAATTGTACTGTAATCTAATTCCTCTGGAGAGGCTGTTCAATAGTTGCTTTAGACTTAAAGCTGCCCCCAAAGCACTTGTCCATTCTGGGCTCTTGCAAATGGATGGATGGTTTTAATTTCTGTGAAATCCATTGGAACAACTGGTACCCACATATCATCTGGCTAAGTATCCAGCAAGAGAAAGCTGTGAAGTGTGACAAGTTCATGAGGATTACGTCCATCTCAAGAGTGAGCTGCTTAGCTGGAGCAAGACTTTTACCGCCATGCACCTAAGCAAGGAAGTTTCGGTGTTGGAGTGAAGAGAGTAGGTTGATTTTAACACAACTTCTAACAGTTGGCAGTCCCACCACTTTCCAGTAGTCTTTAAATTTGGTCTCTATACACAAATTTAAATGGATCCAAGTAAATGGCAAACAAAGCAAAATCAGGATGTTTCAGACAAGTTTGGTAAACACCATCCCAAATGCTTTAGTATAATCTTGGAACACTTTTTTGAGGCTAGTGACTTTAAATGAAAGGGGAAAGATGCCCCCCCCCCAATGCTTTCAGAGATGATGTTCCCAGCCTTTCTCTATTGCGTTAACCTCTTGACAGATGGAAAAATATTTCATCCAGCACATGAGCCTAATAAATCCCAGATTAGACCTGAATTCCATCTCATCTTGTGCATCCTGAAACAAATGAACAAACAGACTTGTCTTACCTCACTGTTTGTTCTTTATCTCCCATGGGGGGAAGTGTCCCATTTCCCAGCCCAAACTTAATTAGCAACACAGAATGTTTATTCCTGCTCTGGGCTTCTCAAAGATATAGCTGATAGTCCCAATCAAATGCTGGCAGAAGCATTCAAGACAAAGCCTAACATCCATCTGCTCTGTAGCCTCTATGGGGCAGTGATTAGCTATAGTAGAAAAGCTGGGAAGTAAGAATGGCCTCTAACAGAAGCCACCATAAAAAGATGCAGAAAAGATGGAGAAGCAGTATTATTCTTTCCTTTAGATTGGTTGGGGGTGGGCATGTGCATGCATGTGTTTTTTTAGTTGATTTGGGCCATTCTCATCATTTTCACCAGTCTCCTTCAAGCTGGTAGACGCTGGAGAGCCAGGACCTGCTCTTGTCTATCCTTTTACATACATTTCATGATTTATACAACAAAACCTGCGGTCAAAGAGCATGATGCTATTGATCTTTGTAAAGCAGTTTTGGAAATGAGTGCTTTTAGACTGTCTATTTAAAGACAAACAACATTCTAAAAGATAAGATCTTTAAAAGATTCTTCAGCACATCTTCAATAACTTTAATGTTTGACTCATATTATGTAGAATTAGGATGGAAGGATGTGAAAAAATAGCTTTTAAACACCCCCAAGTCCATTGCATAGGCCTAGTCATCCAGTTTAGCAGCCACTGCAGAATCCCGGAAAGTCGATTAAAATTCAACTGTTGGCTCCATGCAATAGATCCGCTGGTCCAGCTTCACCTGTAGAAGAATCCTTTTCAGTGATCTACAGACTGGTCCGCATGAGCAGGATATATGACAACTCAAGAGACAGGCGACTGCTGCCATCCCATGCACATCCTTTTCAAACTGCAGCTGTGACAGGGCACAGGTCTAGAGGAGAATTTCCAAAGCTTGATAAAAATAATGGGGAGTAAACTTTCTCAAAGGAAGAGTGTTAAAAAAAAAAAAGCTAAAATAAAATAAGACAAAATTCCGTAGGCTGCAGCCGGTTTCTTCTGTATTGCTCTGGATACATTTCTTTTCCCAATATGTAAGAAAGATCCTCCAACCCCTTCCACAGGTTCAGTGCTTTCTTTCCATTCTTACCGGTTCATTAATTGTACTTAACTGTTCTAAACACACCACCATGCACACAGTTTAATAGTATTGATATATTTTATCTTAAAGACAATTTACTTGCAGAATACAAAAATAGGCCCAAGGAGGACATAGTGCCTGTTTTCCCTAAGAGGTTTCCAGTGCCAGGACACAAGAAACAGCGAGGCTTAGCAGAAGCCTCACACGCTCTGCGCTTGAGGTATGATCCAGAAGCCTGCAAGCTCCATATCTTACCTGGAATTAGTGTTTTAGAGATACAGTAAGTGGGCTGAGGCCGTAAGGTATATATGAAGATGATGTTATTAACTACTGGATAATTACAGTAATGGATTGTGGCACAGGGGAGAGGCCCAGAATTTGAGAATGAACACATGGGTGAAAGAATATAAATAACAAGAAATGAACTGGGCCAACCCTAGGAGGTAGGTCAGCAGGACAAAATTAGTTCAGACAGACATTAAGGGTATGCCCATACCTAGACAACAAGGGACTTCTGCTGCTGCCCTTCCTCCTGGAAAAAATCCCCAAATTTTGGGAAAAAAACCCCTTACTTTGAAAAGAGAAGTTTGCTATAGCCAGCTTAGAAAAGGAATGTTCTAGAATTGGTGCGGTGGAGGAGAAAATGAGACTGAACTAATGATTCAATACAGTTCCATCCCCTGAAAGAGAGAACACGCACAATAGCCTTTGTACTATCCACATATCATGAGTTGGCAGGGATTAAAAGCCTAAATATAGAGCTAAAAAGGGCAGGGTGGGTGAGGCTGAAACCTGCATGAGAGAGTAACATTCAAACAACAGAATGTGCCAGACCCATCCGTAAGGACCAGTATTTGGGGGAATAGATGTATGCTATATGTGCTCTTTGTAGCAAATTGACTGTGTGTGAATTATTTTCCAGCCACAATATTTGAGGTCATTGTTTAAAAACAGATCCAAGTTCAGCAACTGATGCCTAGCAGAAATCAGCAGTTATGTTTCATAGTTGGAATCTCTTTTAACAACTGATTGCCACTCGTACACATCTAATGCATGTCGGTAATTGGATGGAACAACAGATTAGTTATTAACCTAGTTTGTGCTAACCTTGAGCAGAAGCATCACTGTTGCATCTTCTAGCTAATGTCTAAGTAAGTTGCCAGGATGAAGGGGACAAGACCAAGTGAGATGTTCCCAAATGGGAGGGGCTGTTTTTTTATGTGCCTCGTACCAACACAAATGACAGATGAATTGGGGAAAGGTGACCAAGCTTTCAGAAGAACTAGGAAGCGTGTGTCTCCTCAGGCACCAACCTGCTCAGAGCAAATATGCAGAGCTAGAAGCTAGGATCTCTCCTCCACTTTTATTAGAGCTGAAAAAGCCAACTCCGTCCATCCCTCCTTTCATTCAGCTCCCATGGAGGATATCCGATTCTCAAAACAAAAACAGCTCGTCATCCATCTAAATCTGAATGGCTATATCAGTTATGCTTGCTTCCAAACCAGAATAAGCTTGGAAATCCAACATGCAGCAGCCATATCTCTCTAAGCAATAGCAAACTGTATGAAGCAACTGGTAGCACCTAGCTCAGACTAGAACACAGAGCAAACTGAATGGCTTGGTTGTACCCAGGGCTGAGGGAATTTCCATCAAGAGGGGGCCAGAAGCAAGCAGCAGAAATTCTGCCCCCAGTTCACATTACACTCCAGTCGATAATGCAGATTACTTATTGCTCTAGGATGCCTTCCAATCAGTGGGCCCAGCATCAAAGGGAAGGGCGCTGTAGTGTTCCAGAATCACCACTCGTCTGTTCATAGTTTCTGTGGGAGGGGGGGTCTAGTATGTTTACCATCCTAGTAGCGCCCAACCTTGGCATCTCCAATGCTTCCCCAGACATCAAAGACAAACTCATCTGGGAAGGCAAAATCACCCAGCTGCTCATCCAATGCTTCTGCAAATTCATCAGGATTTTGCTTGTCCTTGCCCAACTCCACCATGGTAGCAGCTGCAGAGGAAGAAAAAAAAATCAGAAATAAGCATAAATTTTATCCCCAAACATTTTTTATAGCGCACAGTTTATAGAACTAAACATAAATCTAAGGAAGAACACAAGGAAACCCTCATATTTATTTCTATTCCTAAGCACAGGAGTAAAAGCAGGTAGGATCAGCCACAACTCACTGCCTGCCATCTCTTAGCAATTTAGCATCCAGATTTTTAAAAAAGCTTACCTAGCTCAGTGTCACGGATACCCATGTAGCTCTCCAGAAGATCATCAACCTTCTCAATGGCCTTTTCCTCAAATGCAGAGGGCTGTGGGGGGGAAAAAAGCACACTTGCCAAAATAGTAACAATATTCCCCTTCTGCTAAACAATCCACATTGCTATACCCAATAAGACATAACTGATGGTGGTTACAATGCAGCAAAAGACCTTGATAGAGAGAGGAAAAATAAATTAAGAGAAACAATATGTAAGGAGTTCTGATCTAAGATCTGTAAAATGTAAGGTTGGTAGAGCAGCCAATCTTTAGAATTGCTTACTGCTGATTCACCACTTTTTTTTTTTTACCACACAGAATGAGGAAGGAAGGTGAGGGATAGAAAGATGAGGCAGCATAAGTGATGCAGGGCATCCTTTTCAACAGAGCTTTGTAGCAGTCTTATCCTTGGCTGGAAGAAAGGGCTCCTCCATTTTCTCAACAGAGCTACTGATCTTTCTGACCAATGTAGTTGGCATCTTGGAATACACACCTGTTCTTCCACGGTGGCTGGTCCCTTGGCCCGTAGACGCAGAGTGCCCCTTCCTGTGCCAAGTTGAGCACATCCGCTGTTTTTGCCTCCTTTGGACCTTTGACTGATCATATCTAGAGCAGAATAAGACAATGTTTGCTGAGATTTTGCTTGGTTTGCACAGCAGAAACCCCAGTTTAAAAACCAACATAGGAAAGAACTTAGTTTCATGTGCCCAAGCAAGAACTTCACAAAAAATAGTTACTTATCATTAGTGAGTATTATGTGTTCATAATCAAAGGTTATTTTTCAGTTTTGGGGTGTGCCACTGCTAACCCACATTTATTAGGTTTTCAGTAACTTGTTAAAATCATACAAACATCATGAGGTACACAGACTCTGACCCAAACATATATTATTGGCATACTGAAATGTTTATGAATTTAAACTCAAATAAAGAATATCAAGTTCAAATCCCTAGCAAAGAACATCGAATCCTTTGATATCAGTGACTGCTAGTAAAAAATGCAGCTTCAAAAATGTTAATTATAAGAGTCTGTAAAGAGCATTATAAAATCGTATTTCAAAAATGTAAGTGCACATGTAGGAAATAGATTGTCATCGGAATTGGGAAGGCTATTTGGGATAAAATATGTGAGACAACATAAACCCAGCAAAACAGAAAAGAAAAGATCTGCAAAACATAAAAAAAGAATCTGAATTGCAATACCAATCATGGGACAATATACCCACAATTGGAAGAGTGGGATGTCAGGGAATTGAATTTTTAAGTGATATTTCTAAAAAATTGCTATCTAATGCAGATCTTTCACGTTCATTCCTCACTCATTCCAAATTGGGAAATGATAATAATAATAATAGTTTACTTACTCCAGTAGTAACTTTCATACATGTAGTTATACAATTCTTTCTGGCATGGCCTATTATATATCTGAGTATACTTAAGAATGGAACTTCACCTTAAGGACAAATTGGGAATGCCTATGACAAAGATGATGTGGCACCTATCAGGCTAAATAATGACTTTTGTGGTCCCATGGTACTTTTGCCTTTACGGACTCCTCCTTCCATTAAAAATGGTATTAAAATTATATTTTATATGATTTCAATGTTTTCTTCATATTTTTATAAAGAAATAAAGAATAGTAAGTAATCTAAATATTATTTTATAATAATAATAAATAGGTGCTTATCAAGATCAATTATCTCTATCGCACACCATCCTTGCTAAATTTTAGAATCCCCCTTTTTATGGGTTCTAGTACCTAAGAGATAAGTTGTTCCTGGAGTACCCATGGTAAACTAGAACAGAGTGCTGCTTTCAGCGGAACGAAAAGGAAATCTGTAATTTGCCAACGGATTCGCATCTCTTCAGAAAGGAAAAAGGCCAAAATCCAGCTCTATAATTAACCAAAGGAAGCATGACCAAAAAAGTTAAGTAAATGCAATACATGGAAATGTTTGCATATTTAAAGAAAGCCGTCACAAAGACTTTGCACAAGTTCCTTGACATGGTTCCAGGTATCAATGCGTATCTTCTATGAAAAGAATGTGTATTCTTTGACAAATTGCAGTCCCCATTTCCTTTGGATAGCTTTAGCAAACTTTCCAACTTTAAGGCAAATTTAGATGGATCCTTCAATTAAGTATAACTTTACCACTGCCAAGGTTTGCTGGAGGGGAATAAAACTGGCACTAAAATGTGTCCTTGCTCACTTCCTATAAACAAGATTTGAAGTGGTGAAACTATGAGCCGTAAGAGTCCTAATCCCTTTGCTATTTCCCTTGTTCTGCAATCTTTTGTCTCTTCATTGCCATTGCTGTTTTGCACTCTATCTAGTAGCAATTAAGGGCCTGCCCTTTGCATACAGCTGTCTAAAAATGGTTTCCATTGACTGAACATTTAAAACATAAAAATACGACTGAAGCAACTCAGTCCAAAGTGATTCCTGTTAGGGCACTTGTAGAATTTATTTTCTGGCTTCCAGATAGATTACAATAGAAATCATCGGGTTTTTTTTAAAAAAAGAAAAGGATTAACCCCAACACATTTTGTATTGCAAAAGGAACATTTCATTTCAAACGGGATAATAATAATAATTATTATTATAATAATTATTCTGGAATAATTTCTGGAATTCTATTTAGCATGCTTGATAAGGGTCCAAACGAGAATATTCCATTTGCAAAGTCATTCCAATTTAACTTGTATTTCAATGGGTTCTTGGTGTTTGTTTTTTTTTTTTGCTTTCTCCTCTCCCCATTCACAAGTTGTTTTGAAACCAGCAAATTGTACATGTAATAGAATATTTAGTAACTTATTT